GCTGAAGCCGTAGTGAGCTGCGATCATCGCACATTTCCTAGAAAAAGGCATAAAACACAGATGAAGGAACGCCGTTAAAATGAAAAAATCTTTTTAAAAATCAGGAAGGAAAACGGGTTGTTAAATTTTTCAGTTTTTTTGTTTTTTTTAAACCATCTTCGGAACTTCCTCTGAAGGAACGAGAGCCTTTTTCTTTCTTTCTGCCTCAATAACATATTTCTCCTTTCTTATTCGTCCAACTGTTCCTTTGTAATATTTTCTCTGACTATTTATAGGGCACAGGCACTGAAAACACCCCCTGGAAATAGTTTTACCTCTGCCTCTACAAGGCTTTTTGTGTTTTTCTCTTTCTGCCCTGTGCTGTCTTTGCACTTCTGCTGTAACATGTGAATTTCCCCACTGTGGGATCAATAAAGTTCTAATCTAATCTAATTCATGGCCAGGAAAGCCTCACTGGATCTGTCTGTGTTTCCTCGGTTAACTCATTGGCTGCCAAAGACGTCTATAGAGGTCTTTTATGTTTTTCAACGAGAGTGTCTGGGGGACGATCTGCTAAAGCTTGTCCGTAAATATCAGGCTTCTAGACAGAGTATGTAGTAACAAATTGACCCTCTAGGGGGCAGTGCCACTTTTGATGGGAGATGAGCATAGACTGTAGGCAAATAAGAAAAAGGGAACGGTTCGCTATGAGAGAACATGTCGCCGGTGAGACGCAAGTCCAGGAAGAACGGAATAAGGTAGAAACACATTTTTTTTCCTGATGAAAGAAGAGAGTCTACTCTTTCTTTTGGTGTGTTCGGTGTTTACATAGTCATAGCACAAACTATTCTGTGGCTCTTGAAAAATCAGTCAAAATGCTCCCAAAAACTCTGGCAGTATGGGACTCTGTTCTGAAAATGGCTTCCAGTCAATGAGTCAATCACAGAAGCTAAAGGCTAACAGTTAGCATAACGAGCACCTGAATCCGGTGATGGCCTTCTGGATGATGTTCTCGTCCAGGCTCTTGTCGAACACGTAGGACAGGGCGGCGATGGTGGGGCCCCAGGTCATGGAGAACAGGTCGTGGTCGTAGCTCCCGGGGGGCACGTGGAGGAAAAGCCCCTCGGGCGTGGCGCCGCGGTGAAGCAACACGCTCCACACGTAGTTCTCCTTCACCAAACCCGTCTGCTCATCGGGCATCACAATCTCCTCATTCCTACACACCAGAGGTGGGGACTCGAGTCACATGACTTGGACTCGAGTCGTTAAAATCACGACTTGAGACTTGACTTGAAAAAATGCTCAAAGACTCGGACTTGACTTTGACTTTCATGCCATTGACTTCGGACTTGACTCGACTTGAAGCTGTTTACTTGAAAAGACTTGATATTTTTTACTCAAAGTCTTAAAATTTAAGACACATTATTTATAAAGTGGCGTCATTAATTCATTTCACTCATTCCGTGTCAATATGCACAGACCGTCACTATCTTTTTCCTCTCTCCTTACGTATGGATGTGTACGTAGCTGCAGCACAACCAATCAAATCAACAGGATTTGGACGTTTAAAAAAACGCGGCGAAGCTACAGAGCTCAGGGAACGAAATACGAAATAACCGCTCGAATATGCTTCCGCGAGTCATTTCTTTTGGCTACGTACGTTATGAAATTTCGACTAAAAAACGAACTGCAACTTGTAAAACATGCAAGAAGAGAATATCGGATGATAATTGCGAATTATAAAAAAAATAAAAAATAAGAACGACTCAAAATGACTTGAAATTTAAGGTTCCTGACTTGAGACTTGACTCGGACTTGAGGACAGAGACTTGAGACTTACTTGAGACTTGCAACACAGTGACTTGGTCACACCTCTGCTACACACACATAAAAACATCCAGTCCAACACTCAATATCAGCCGATAGCAATCCGGCTTAATATCGTCATTTAACTGAAGAGGCAAGCGTTCTCAAACACTTTGGATTTTTTGTTTTACAGTGGGGGAAATAAGTATTTGAGCCCTTGCTGATTTTGCAGGTTTGCCCACTTAGAAAGAACGCAACAATCTATAACTTTAATCATATGTACATTCTAACAGTGAAAGACAGAATCCCAAAGAAAGTTCCAGAAAATCACATCATATGAATTGATAAAAATTGATAACCATCTGATGAGGAAAAATAAGCATTCTTTGGAAGTGGGCAAACCTGCAAAATCCAATCAAAACCATCTCAAACAGTCAAAATATAATGTTTTAGGTGATATTAATTATATGATATATATAATTATAATTAATAATAATAATGATAATAATTACATGATAAATTATCATTTATAATTCATATTAATAAAAAAACTAATAAATATGATGATGATGCATCAACTGAATCTGAGCCCAGTATTTATGTATCCCAGAGCTGAATATCTACAAAGATTAAACAATTTTTTATTTAGAAACAAAAGGTTTGTGTAATATCCAGAAAACTGGACAATCTAGAAATCATTCATTTCTTTGGTTATACATACAAAAGACACACTAATAGTTTCAGTTTTTCGGTGCTGAGCTAGCTGATTTCCTTTTTCTTTTTGTTTATTTCACCAAGATCCAGTAAATCGATCCAGTAAATTCAAATCCATTCATTCTTTGGATAATCACAGTTGTCTAAGACATCCCTTTGGACTTTAGAGGAAAGACGTTGTCATTTCTAACAGTTTAAAATGAACCTTTATAGAATATAGCCGATAAAAACAAAGATAAAACTTGTGTGTTATATGTTTGTAGCTCACTTGATAGCGTTGTAGATGTCCTCCAGCATGTCTTGGTCAAAGTCTTTGTTTCCATTCACACCTTTTAGATTTTTCTTAAATTGCTGTGTGGAGACAAAAAGAAAAGCACGTTATGTTGCAGAAAAAAGGTGGGGGTCGTTTCCTCTAAGCCTCACATCGTCATTTTGAATCTCTACCATCAACACATCAATCAATAGGTCCAAACGCGGGAGATTAGCTCAGACGCTAAAGCATCTGGCATCCAGCGCCTTGTCAACTGAGAGTCGAACCGACAATTAAAAGGAAACACACTCGTTATATGTCACTTAATATGCTTTGGATGCATGGTTAGGAAAACAGGGATTAGAGCCAAGGAGCTCCCGTAAATAAACACAACCGCCTGGCGATGACTGATAGCCTCAAGGCTCACTTTTGTGCAGGAACTGTCCCGCTATTTTAAAAGTGAATTCAACTAAATGTAAGTATAATAAGCCTCTGAATTTATTCTTTTGAATAATGTTGACGACCGTTTCATCGATGCAATTTTGTCATTGCAAATTAGACACACCGCAGAATTTGCTCTCTCCACAAAGGCGAATTCTTCAGTCCATTCGTCCTGAAATGTACGATACTCGCCATCTTTTTTTCTTTTCGCCATCTTCTTCGTCGAAGGGTTAGCTTTGTAGCTTGTATTTGTATACAAGTGAGAATATTTTGTTTTATCCGCGAGCCAGATGCAATCATCAAAAGAACCACACCTGGCTCGCGAGCAGAGATGTTTAAAGTACTGGAGTGGAGTACAAGTACAAGTACTATGTAAAAAAAATTACTTGAGTAAAAGTAGAATTATTCTTTCAACACCATACTTAAGTGGAAGTACGGAAGTACTCAATTTTTTTGGTACTTAAGTATTGCAAGTAGAAGTATTTCAAAAATTGCTACTCAAGTATCGAAAGTACAAGTATAAGTAAAAGTACAAGTACTGTTTATATTTAAAAAAGGCAGTCAAAAATGTAATAGAGATTGTTTATATTATTTCAAACGTGTGAAAGGCCATACAGGTGTTTACAAAAACAGAAAACTACATCTGCATTAGCATCAACAGCACTTCATCTACTATTATTTATTATTCCAGAGTCAGAATCCTGAGCTGAGCCTTTATGCTAGCATGTAGCATACAGCTAGCCAGCTAGGTTAGCTTTAGCTAACGTTATCATACAGCTAGCCAGCTAGGTTAGCTTTAGCTAACTTTATCATACAGCTAGCCAGCTAGGTTAGCTTTAGCTAACGTTGTCATACAGCTCGCCAGCTAGGTTAGCTTTAGCTAACGTTAGCTGCTACGCCCTGAGTGAACAGGGAGAACTGAACTAGCGCTTATTTACTAGCTTATATGTCATTGTACTCTTTAGTCTACTCGGAGTAGAAGTATTGAAATAATCAAAAATATGTAGTGGAGTAAAAGGAAAAGTAGGGGGAAAAATATCTACTCCAATAAAGTACAGATAATGCATTATGGTACTTAAGTACAGTACTAAGTAGTAAGTACTTTTCTTTGATGATAATCCTCACCTAGGATTTACTAATATGGACTGTAAAATGCATGTAGTTCTGAGTTGCCTTCTTAGCCATCCTATCTGCCATTTTATTCCCTTTTATTCCATATAAAATGGTATTGCTAAACTCATCCTTTATATTCTGAAAGCTGCACTGTTAACAAAATGTCTGCCTGTGTTGTCTTTGAAGCTAAAACGCATGTTCTCTCCTTTTTCCTTAGACTTAAACTTAGACTTAGACAGTACTTTATTGTTCCCTTGGGAAGACTCCCTCAGGAAATTAAGGTTACCAGCTGCTTAAAGGGCAAAAAGTATCAAGTTAGAATTAAATTAAGCAAAAAAAATACAAATGAATAAATAAAAATACAAAAAATACAGATATAGCAATATATCCAATATAGCCATGTATACTGTTGCTTCTGATAAGCTATTTTCTTCTTTTTTAACTTTTCCCCATCACGGTTTTAGGA